AGAAGAGAAGAGAAGAGAAGAGAAGAGAAGAGAAGAGAAGAGAAGAGAAGAGAAGAGAAGAGAAAAAGAAAGGAAAGAAAAGGAAAGAGAAGAGAAGAGAAACCAAGTTTAAAAATAAAATAAAAACTGGGGCGCCTGGGTGGCTTAGTCAGTTAAGCGTCTGACTTTCGCTTAGGTCATGATCTCGCGGTTCGTGGGTTCGAGCCCCGCGTCGGGCTCTGTGCTGACTGCCAGCTCAGAGCCTGGAGCCTGTTTCACAGTCTGTGTCTCCCTCTCTCTCTGACCCTCCCCTGCTCAAGCTGTCTCTCTCTCTCTCTCTCCTAGAAATAAATAAAACATTTTAAATAAATAAATAAATAAATAAAATAAAATAAAATAAAAACTGTAGTGTGCAAAATACATACATTGAAAACTACAACATTGCTGAGGGAAATTAAAGACCAAAATACAATGAGACACTGTGTTTGTGGATCTGAAGACTCCGTATCATTCAGATGTCAATTCTATCGTTTTATGTGCAGATATTATGCAATCACAAAAATCCCAGAAAGCTTTTTGTTTGAAATTAACAAGCTCAATTTAAAACATAAGTGGGAATGCAAAGGACCTACCTACAGTAGCTAAAATAAAAGAAGAATAAATTTGGGTGACTTACAATACCTGATTTCAAGACTTATCCTAAAGCTACAACTGGCATAAAGACAAATAGATCAATGGAACAAACTAGAACCAAAGTAATTCAGTGGTTCCTCCATCTGAATAAAGTTTTCAACAAATGTTGCTAACAACTGGATACCTACATGCAAACCAGTGCACTTCAATGCTTACCTCACACCATATTAAAAAAATTAACCAAAATGGATCATAGACCTAAATATAAAAGCAAAAATGACATAACTTCTAGAACACAAGTGATATCTTAATGGCTTTGGATTTGGCAAAGATTTCTTAAATATGTTAAAAAAATCACAAACATCAATAAATTGGACTACATCAAAATCAAAAGCTTTTGCTCTTCAAAACATTTTGCTGGAAAAATGAAAAACCACATCCTGAGAAAAAAAACATGTATCTGAAAAGGACTTGTAACTAGAATATAGAAAAAAACTCCTGCAAATTAAAAAGATAATCTATTTTTTTAATGGACAAAAGATTGGAACAGTTCACCAAAGAAGATGTATACAGATGGCAATCACACAAAAATATATTCAATATTATTAGGGAAATGCACATTAAAACCCTAATGAAGTGCTATTACAACCCATTTAGAAAGGCTAAGAGACAAATCATGAAGTAATCATACCAAGCATCCTTGAAGATATGGAGCAAGTGGAACTCTCAAACATTGCTGATGGGAATGGAAAATGCTGGCAGGAAAAGTTTGGCAGTTTCTTTTTTATTCTAAGTCGGCCCCATGCCCAGTGCAGAGCCCAATGTAGGGCTTGAACTCATGAGATCATGAGATCTGAGATCAAGACCTGAGCTGAGATCAAGAGTCGAACTTAATCATCTGAGCCACCCAGGCACCCCTGGCAGTTACTTTTAAAAATACTTTTACCATGGGGCGCCTGGGTGGCTTAGTCGGTTAAGCGTCCGACTTTCGCTTAGGTCATGATCTCGCGGTTCGTGGGTTCGAGCCCCACGTCGGGCTCTGTGCTGACAGCTCAGAGCCTGGAGCCTGTTTCAGTCTGTGACTCCCTCTCTCTCTGACCCTCCCCTGCTCACGCTGTCTCTCTCTCTCTCTCTCCTAGAAATAAATAAAACATTAAAAAAATTTAAAAAAAAATATTTTTACCATGTGACACCTAGCCATTATTCCACTCCTAGGTATTTACCCACGAGAAACTAAAGATTATGTCCATTATGTCTTGTACACGAATGTTCAGTTTTATCTGTGATAGCCAAAAACTGAAAACCAACCCAGAAGTCCACCAGCAGGTAAATGGATAAACAAACTGTGATACATTCATACAATAGAATACTACTTGGCAATAAAAAGGAGAGAAACTGATACATGTAATATGGAGAATGAAAGAAGCCTTATAAAAAGAGTATATATGTATGATTCCATTTATAAAAAAGTCATACATAAACTAATCTATAGTGACAGAAGCAAATCAGTGGTTCCCTGGAGGTTGAGAGCACAGGGAGGAGAGGGGGAGGGAGGACTTAACAAAGAGGAACAAGGAAACTTGAGGGTGAGGAACATGTTCACTAATTTGATTGTAGTGATGGTTTCACAGATGTATATATGTCAAAACTCATCAAATGTATACATTTTAAATATTTAAAGTTTACTGTACATCAATTATGCCTCAAAAAGTATATATGTAAATATATAAATTTGTGTGTATTTTTATATTAAGGGATCTTTTTCACCCAGTTAGGGACCTTTTTCACCCAACAAACTAGCAAAGATTTAAAAAGCTGATAAACCTGTGCTGGAAAAGCTGTGAGGAAACAGATAATCTCATACATTCCTGGTGGGAAGGTAAAAAGGTACCCTCTATTTGGCAATAATTATCAAATATTACAAATGCATATATCCTTTATGCCAGCAATTCCTACTATAAGTATTTGCATATCTACTCGTGAATAGGCGAAATGACATAAACAAGGTGTATAAAGTTCCAGAGTACAGAAATCTAAAGAGACTCAGCAGTACAGGACTAGTTAAATAAATTATAGAACATTCATATAGTAGAGTACTAAAGCTATAAAAGAATGGAGAAACTGTACATGACAGGCAATAAAAACTCCAAGACTTGCTAGTAGAAAGAACAATGCCTATAAGACAATACTTCTGTATTTGTGAAAGAGAGATATAATATAGTCACACATTCACACTGTTATATATGTATAAATTAGACTTTTAGAAGAAATTAGTAAAGAAGTTCCTCAAGGCGTTGAAAATAGAACTACCCTACGATCAAGACGATCTTTGAAGCTGTCCCTGAAGTTACAGCTAAGAGAACATAGCAGCCCGGGAAGCCTAGAGTGGAGACTGATCCTGTGAGAGAAAAGGGTTCATCATGGTGGATGACTTAAAGCGATTCCTGTATAAAAAATTAACCAGGTGTTGAAGGTCTCCATGCTATTGTTGTGTCACATATAGATGGAGTGCCTGTTTGTTATTAACGTAGCCAATGATAATGTTCCAAAGCATGCTTTGAGATCTGGTTTCTTAACTACTTTTGCTCTTCCAACAGACCAAGGGACCCAACTTGGACTTTCAAAAAATAGAAGTATCATCTGATATTGTAACACCTACCAGGTGGTTCAATTCAATTGTTTACCTTTGGTGGCAACTTTCATAGCCAGCAGCAATGCCAATGCAGGACTAATTGTCAACCTACAAAAGGAACTTGCTCCATTATTTGAAGAATTGAGACAAGTTGTAGAAGTCCATGTGGAAGTGGTTTTGATGTATACCTTACTTTCTTTATAACAGGCATATATCAATCCAGCCATCTTTACCGACGGCAACAATACTTGTGTCCATGTACTCAAGAAAGGGCCCCTTTCCTACCTTACACTAAATAAAGAGCCTGTAGATAAAATTTATGGATAGATTATCTTTTCTCATGTAGGGTATTTTCTTAGTGAGATCTGGGGATACCACAGAAATAGTTTAATACATGGTGTTAGCCAGTCACCAACTATGCATGAAATTCTATTCAGTGGGTCAGAATAAAAATGGTACTTTGAGGGCACCTGGGTGGCTCAATAGTTGGTGAAGCATCTGACTTGATTTCAGCTCAGGTCATGATCTCATTATTCATGAATAGGAGCCCCAGGTCGGGCTCTGCACTGACAGTCCAGAACCTGCTTGGGATTTTCTCTCTCTCTCTCTCTCTCTCTCTCCATCTGCCCCTCCCCTGCTCATATTCTCTTTCTCCTCTCTCTCAAAAACAAACTTTTAAACTTTTTTTAAAAAATTAAAAAATGATCTACTTGAGCCATTAAGTGCTTCCTAATATATAATATGCCCAGTACTATAAAATGAAGCAGGCGCTTTTTATTGTGAATAACAATGAGGACATATTTTTCTGTATAGTGTTTTATTTCTTTGTAATGAGTGTGAGGAAGATAATAATGGCTTAGTAAAAGTAACAGAATCAGTAAAATTACTAAAAAGAAGAAGAAGAAAAGAACTGCCCTATGATCCAGCAATTGCACTACTAGGAATTTACCCAAAGAATACAAAAACAGTAATTCAAAGGAATACATGCACCCCAATATTTATAGCAGAGTTACCTACAATAGCCAAATTATAGAAACAGCTGAAGTATGTACTGATAGATGGATAAAGAAGAGGTAGTATATATACACAATAGTATACTATTCAGCCATAAAAAAGAATGAAACCTTGCCATTTGCAACAACATGGATGGAGCTAGAGAGTATTATGCTAAGTGAGATAAATCAGAGAAAGACAAATACCATATGATTTCACTCATATATGAAAATTAAGAAAACAAATGGGCATAGGAAAAAAATGAGAGAGAGAGGCAAACTAAGAAATAGACTCAACTACAAAAAACAAACTGATGGTTGCCAGAAGTGGGATGGGTGTGGGGAATGGGTGAAATAGGCGATGGGGATTGAGGAGGGCACCTGTGATGAGCACCAGGTGATGTATGGACATGCTGAATCACTATCCTGTATACCTGAAACTAATATAATGTATGTTAATTGGATTTAAAAACTTAAAAATATAATAAAGAACCATAATTTTAAAAGAAAGTCTTTTTCAGATTTCTATCAAGCCACATCAGCAGAAATTGTCCTTAAGAGCTTATTTTGGGGGTGCCTGGGTGGGTCAGTCGGTTGGGCGGCTGACTTCAGCTCAGGTCATGATCTCGTGGTTCGTGGGTTCAAGCCCCGCATCTGGCTCTGTGCTGACAGCTAGCTCAGAGCCTGGAGCCTGTTTCAGATTCTGTGTTTCCCTGTCTCTCTGACCCTCCCCTTCCCATGCTCTCTTCTCTCAGAAATAAATAAAACAGGTAAAAAAAAATTTTTTTTTACCTGTTTTATTTATTTCTAGGAGAGAGAGAGAGAGACAGCATGAGCAGGGGAGGGTCAGAGACAGAGGAAGTCACAGACTGAAACAGGCTCCAGGCTCTGAACTGGCAGTCAGCACAGAGCCCGACGCATGGCTCGAACCCACGAACCGCGAGATCATAACCTAAGCGAAAGTCAGACGCTTAACCGACTAAGCCACCCAGGCACCCCAAAAAAAATTTTTTTTAAAAAAGAGCTTATTTTGGCTTCTTTCAGGACTGCTTTTATTGAGATGCACTTAGATGGTATGTCATGGTCTCTACTGTATTTATTATCTAGAGAGGAAAATGATTGTATCAAATAATCTCCTTTATCAGGATTCAATAGAAAAATTCCTCTCAAGACATTAAAGCATCTCTTTTTTGAACTCTTACCCCCTACCCATCTTATTTTCCTAGTGGTATTTTCCTTTAGTTTCAATTTGGTGGTTAAGTTCTTTTCTAATTTATGAATTTCAATAAGCATCATTAATCCTTTCTATAATCCATCAGATAATTATATTTAATAATGATTAATTCTGTTGAGTAAGTTTTGGGGATCTAATTACAGCAAGGTACTATAGTCAGTAACACTATCATATACTTGAAAGTTACTAAGAGTAAATCTTAAATGCTCACATTACTCACACTCACACACACATACACATACACAAATATAATTATGTGCAGTGATGGAGGTGTGAACTAATCCTACTGTGTTAATCATTCCACAATATATACATGTATCAAATCACATTGCATATCTTAAACTTATACAATGTGTCGATTATATCTCTAAATCTTGAAAAAAACACTTAAACATTAAAAGACTGAAAATTAAAGGAGCGCCCGGGTGGCTCAGTCGGTTAAATATCCAACTCTTGGTTTTGGGTCAGGTCACAATCTCACAGTTTGTGAGTTTGAGCCCCGCATCGGGCTCTATCCTGACAGCGCACAACCTGCTTGGGATTCTGTCTTCCTCTCTCTCTCTGCCTCTCCCCCTCCCCAACTTGCGTGCGAGCACTCTCCCTCCCTCTCTCAAAATAAATAAATTTAAAAAGTAAAAAATAAACACTAAAACAAAAATAATAAAGTCTGATCTAGCTACTGTAAATACTTTCAAATGGGCTTAAAATACTTTTAGCAATGGTTAACATTCATACATACCCATCCTGTCCCACCAGTAGCCAAAGGACACCATGTTAAAAGTGGTTTAGTTTTAAAAACTAAACTGAACTCATGGCTGCTGGCATCATCAGCCCATGCTCTATCAAACTGCAAAATAAAACGTGTTTAAACCAGATTTCTTTAAATGACATGACTGTGTTATTTTGTAATTATCTACATGAGAAATCACTCTAATCCCAAATGTACACTAGCCTATCCTCCCTTTTCTGCATCTATCAAATATCTTAAAATAGACAAAAAAAAAACAGAAACAAAAATAAACACCACTTACCAGTAGCATAGATGGCTTTGTAAAGCAAATAAATATTCATTAAAACTTTCAATGGGCTTCTCCTGTAGCACATAGTCAATGCGCTGGCCTCCGTTCAGCATTCCCACATTGATGGGTGGGACTTCTTCTTTAACTGCCACAGGCGTCTCTTCTGTGTTAACATCTGGACATGGAGGAACAACAATAACCATCTAAAAGCTTCCAGCCCCCCAAGATTACCCTTACTTCCCCCTCAAATGGCCAAATTTACAGTGGGACGAGCTACTCTCTGTTCAGAAAGCTCTCTGCACCTTCCTCCTCTCAATCCCCTCAAAGTTTCTCAAGTCACAATGATTTTGTCCAATCCCATTTTTTCTTTCCTGTACCTCTGATACAGCCAATTCACTTGCATCTGCTTTATAAATAAATGCACCTACAGAAATCTTTAGACAATTGAAAATTAAAGCAAAAAGAATGCAACATTAACTGAAATTAAGAGGAGATATACAAGCTAGTGCCCAGCCAGGAAAATAAAACTGACTCATGAATACACAGACATTCCCCTAAAAAAGCTTCACAGAGGAGGCTCCTAACATCGTGCCCAGACTTCCCAAGTGAGAGATGTCTTTTAATGCCTCTTTACCAGATGCTTAGCTTCTCTGGACATCTTTCTCACAAATAAATGTTTTTCCATAATTTGTGGCTATTTGATAATAGAAAAGACTAGCAGACCTGAAGGCCCATTAGGACTCAGAGTATTGGTCCTGTACAATAAAAACGGAAAAACAGATTAAGTAAAAACTCTTGAGAAGAAGAATTAAATCATGGAGTTACTCTTATCTGATCTCATGTACGAAATCAAAGTGTACAGTGTCACTGACCACTTAGCTTCTCTGAACTTGATTCCGATTCTGCTTCTGTTTCTTCTGTAGTTTCTGAAGCTTGTAAGGCAGGGTATGGAGCTCTGGTAAAAGACTTCCAGGCCATCCGCAGTGAACACAGCAAGTTGTTCTTAAGGTCCATACTCATCCTGGTCAAGCCTTCTCTCAGTTCTGAAACATATATGAATAAAGAACGTTACATGATTTACAAAGAATTTAGGATCCAACACAATTAAATAAAGTGAATGAGATCCAGTCAGTCTGGATCTGGCCAGACGGTCTAGAATTACAAATTCTGTACTCAGATTTACCTAAGTGCATCCGCTTCCTGCCTTTATGATGTGGTATCAGCATTGGTTCAAATTCCACTCCTGGGACTACCATCGGTTCAATCCTATAGGCCACAGGATCAAACTACATAGGAAAAATAATAGCTACATATATAGTTCTGCTAAAGACACTCAGAAAGTCTTAGGAACTTTATATCAGGCAAGAATAATTATAAGCTCATTTAAAAAAAGTTATTTTGCCTCATCACTTTCAGATTCAAACGATTATAAGTTGTTTCATTACCACAGAATAATATAGAAAAAAGCAAATCAACACAACAGAAAATTATATGCTCTTGGGGCACCTAGGTGGCTCAGTGGGTTAGGCGTCAGACTCTTATTTTCAGCTCAGGTCATGATCTCGCAGTTCATGGGATCAAGCCCTGCACTGGGCACACACTGACAGCATGGAACCTGCTTGGAATTCTCTCTCTCCCTCTCTCTGCCCCTCTCCCTGCTTAAGCACATGCATTCTCTTTCTCTCTCCTCTCTAACACCCCTACTCTCAAAATAAAAAAATATTTAAAAAAAAAAAAAAAACAGAAAATTATGTGCTCTTTACTAATGAGCCCCAATATTCAGGTGAAAACATGTCCAATGCTTACAGGGTGATAAATATTGAAGAAACCTTTGCATGTTGGAAATTTATAGTCAGGATCAATCCTTTTTAGTCCTCGGACAGTAAGGAACATTCCAATGGGCGAGCCAAAGGCAAAGAATATTTCTGGTTTGTAGATGAGCCGGGGGTATTTTACAGACACCTGGAAAGAGGATATAAAAGTATCTCTCACTAATAACAAAAGTGACAACTGTTCCTACCATACCAATGGCAGGCAATAAAATGACCAAAGAGTTTTAATTAGAATTGTTACCTGCCCAATGCCAACATCCAGATAGTCACCATTTCCAGCAGCGTTCGTTTTATTGCAAAATTCCAATTCTCTGGGGATGTTAGATACGTTCACCCCTGAAGCTGGCTTCACGGTTGGTTTATTAATACCCTAAAGAATAAAATAATGCCATGAAACTATATAGTAGAAACATCCAAAGGCTTAGTTTTTTTTTATTGGTTTGAAAGGATGCTCAGGTGAGTTTTGAATTTTAGTTTGAGTCCTAAAAAAAAGATAAAGCTGATGAAAACAAAAATTGTCTTAAATGATAAAAAGACATCCCTACATTCTCTAAAGTGGTAAAAGCTGTACACAGCCATTTGGTCAGCAGTTGAAACTTTAGGCAACCAACAGGAGAGAAAACAACAGCAGAGCATGATGAAAAAGAATGCTGAGGGTTGCTAAGGAGTTTTAATGAAGTGCATGCCCTTTTAATGGAAGCAGAATGTCTTTATGAGTATAGAAAATAATATAGAAAAGCTGCCTGGCACCTTTCTGCTATTGGACTCTTCAATCTGCTGAAGCTCGTGATGGACGTCAAGCAAAAGCTTTCTTTTGACCACTTGAACTCCAACAGACTAATGGAAATCCCTGACTGGATCTGCTGTGTCCAGGTCTCCATCTGAAGTGCAGGCTCAGCATCTATCTGTTAGAAAGACCCAGTCTCTCGCCGAGAGGCCTCAGATACTCCCAAGGCGTGGTCCTGGGTCCCAAGTAATAGAATAGGAGGCCTCTAGTATGCTGGCCTCCTTCACAGAGTTATTTTTAATTAAAGAAACTATTCATTTCTGGCAAAAAAAAAAAAAAAAAAATATAGAAAAATGCTGGGCCAAGAACTGGGCCTTAAATAAAAACAACAGCCTGCTACAGAGTTGAAAGATAACTACTAAGATGTGAAAAGAAATTCAATGGCCAAAAAAACTGAATGTAGAAAACTGTTACAACGTGGATAAAGCCTAAGTTCATTATGTTAAAGTGAAAGAAGCCAGTCACAAAAAGCCACATTATTGTATGATTTCATTTATACGAAATGTCCAGAATAACAAAACCAGATTGACAGAAAAGCCAGTGGTTCAAAGGAGGAAGGAATGGGGAGTGACTGCTAATGGGTATAGGGTTTCTTTTCAGGGTGATGGAAATGTTCTCAAATTAGATAGTGGTAATGGTTACACAACTCTGTGAATATACTAAAACAGCTGAATTATATACTTTAAAAGGATGAATTTTATGGTAGGTGATGTGAATTATATTTCAATATAAGGTTATGAAGGGAAAAAAGTGGAATGGTGAAAAGACTCCAGGGGAGATAAGATTTCTGAAGTTAGTAATATTTTTAAAGATGTCACTATAGACAATGTGTTTAATGTCTAAAAAGAGAGCCAAAGATCAGTTACCAAAAGTTCTTAGCTGCCTAAAAACCTCACAATGCATAAGGATACAAGGATGCCAAAAACCGTTTAATCCTACAAGCTACATTAAACACATACCACTGAATGTTTCCTGGTCCTGAAGTAGTTTAATATCTTCTTTCTTGGTCCTAGGGGAATTCCCATTTCCTGAAGATCTTTGTCGGTACATAAAGCCTAGGCATAGAAAATCAAATCAAAATGCTTCTTATTTCTAGTCATAATAAAATGAATTAAATGTCCTGTTCTCTGAGAGGAATAAGACCTAAGCATTCTTGTTCTTTGCTTTTTATTACTAGGGCTCCCTAGTGGTACATCATTAATAATTTTGAGAAGAAAAGACTATTTTATTCATAAAAGCCTAGTGAAAAATAAAAAGTATCAATACTATAGTGTCAACGCTATAGTAATACAGATGACATTATTCCAAAAACAAAAACAAGACCTACAGAAGTGGGTAGGTAACGCATGACACAAAACACTCCTTGATCTCCATGCTGACTTAAATGTCACATTCCTTAGAAAGATTATACCCCTACTCATGGACACAAGCAGTAAGAATATATAGCAAATGCAGAGCATGAAACCCACGAACAATCAGTATCTCAGCTTCAGTGCTACTCACCTGACAAGGTTAAGGCTTCCTTCACCCTCCTAGACTAGGTTAGTTCTTAATACCACTGTGTACTTTTCCTACTTAGAACTTACCATAACTGTAATAAAGTATTTAATATGTGTCTTCGCCACTAAACTATAAACATAATGAGGAGAGAGACTGTATCTGTCTTACTGACGACTCTGTCTCTAGCAGTTGGTATAGTATGCCTGATCATATTAAGCATTCACAAAATATCTGTTAAATGCAAGAATGTACTGCAAACCTGAAAAAAGCACCAAAAAAGGGGCAAAAGCCAAAAACAAATAAATAAGCAACTATCAGTAGTAGAGCTCTTAAAAGTTTAACAGAAAATAATAGAATAGTTAGTGGTCATATATTCTTACTCATGTTTAAGTTTTCTGAGCTATGCTGTTTTTCAGTCTTTGCTCCGCTACTATGTTTGTCCATATGACTCCTCTGAACCTTGCACTCCCACAAAGCAAGATCACTTCATATGATAAAAAAAACACATAAACAAGCTAAAGGACATCACTAATGATAACAAGTATTTATGACTAAAATGATTCTAAAGGGCAGGCTCTTAGTAAGAGATAAGATGAAGATTAAGCAATAAAAACACTAAAAGTGGTACAGCATAAAGTTTTAAAAAAAGATTTTTACCAGAGCTTCCTTATCTACTTTCTCCTTCTCAAAGATACTAAGGAATTCAGAGAGCTGAAGTTTCTCCAAATCTTCCTCTAGTGTCAGTGTGTCTCCTTGATCCACGGCAATACCTGGTGTGTCCTAAAAATTAAATTGTAAAGCTCATATTCTCTGAATTTATTTAGATTTTCTTTTATTATTACTATTTGGCAATAAAAATGTATAAGGGTTCTGCATAAAGATACACTTAGCTTTAAATAAGTTGTAATTTATATAAAATTTAAATTAAGAAATGGTTAATCTTTAACTTTGCAACTTCAGTTGAAACAATGTTCTTAAATAAATGAATGCATGAATCATTATCAAAGTATTTTCAACTTCATTAACAAAACATTTATTGAGCTCTTATAAGACAAAGCCCCTGTCCTGGAAGAACTCATGGTCCAACAACATAAATAGGATACTTACATAAAAAAAGAAAACACACAAGATAATATATGCTAAGTACTAATTCAACACTAGATAAATGTTCATAAGACTTTTTGCAAAAGATGTTTAAACATCAAGTCCTCCCACTGCTTTCAGACAGAATTTCTATAAGTTGGATCAGTTTGCATCCAATTTATTCTTCATTTCCTCATCATATGCAAACTTTACTTCAGCTCGGTGATTCTATAATTCTAATAATAGATCAGAAGTACATATTTATAATGGAAAATAAGATAACCTATAGTTATTTTAGAATATGGCAAATATTTGTGGGAGCATATTGCTATCTTGCTTCTATTACCCAAGAGTGACAGAGATAATTACAAGTCTTTTAAAATTAAAATAAATGTAAAATCAATGTTACGGTATAAAACTAAACTAAGCAAAAAAACTAAAAGTCTAAAATCTAAAAATCCATACTATGAAATAATATATGAGAACCTATCTGTACATCTAAATTACCTTTTCACTGTCAATATCCCCCAAAGAATCTTTCTGATTTGTTAGGATATCAAACAATATAAGCGAACCTATAAGTAAAATAGAAGAAGGGACAATTTCTAAGCATTGGCACTACATAGCTGTCTTTTATACAAAAAGTATTAAGTCAATTACCCATGTAGCAAAATCTATGAAGCAGGAAGTCTTTCTTGCCAATCCACCACCACCCTTCCAATCCCTTCCAAACGTTCACCACAGACCAGTTCTAGACCTCTGTATCTGATACTGATATAAGACATTGTACTTAAAGAACAGGTGTCCTTAATATGTGAGAGTCCTCTCCGGTCACAGAAATTCATTTGTTACCTAAACTATGACCAGCAATGGATACACCCCCTTTGAAATCAGGGTTCCTCTGCAGAAAAAGCGTATATATTCGGTTCATTTCAGAAGCAACTGTGTCCACAATAGTCTGACAGTAGGTGGGGCTATTGTAGAAGAAGACATCCAGAATTGTGTCATTGGTGAAGTGCCTTAGGCGGTTAATGCTGGGCAGAGTTATTCGCTGCAGATCTCTGGAAAAAAAAAAAAAAAAAAAAGATATTTTAAGCAGAAAACCTAATACATTCCAAAAGCCCCTCTAAGTTATTATCCAGCTTAGCCTTCAAGCTTAGATTTAGATACTTAAAGATACAACAGGCCATTAATCAATTTACAGGAAATACAGAGGACTCAGAGACAAGTTTAATTAAGCCAAAAGGGGGGCGCCTGGGTGGCTCAGTCGGTTAAGTGTCTGACTTTGGCTCAGGTCATGATCTCACAGTTCGTGGGTTCGAGCCCCACGTCAGCCTCTGTGCTGACAGCTAGCTCAGAGCCTGGAACCTGCTTCGGATTCTGCTTCTCTCTCTCTCTCTCTGACCCTTCCCTACTCACGCTTTCTCTCTCTCTCAGAAATAAATAAAACATTAGCTTCTGCACAGCAAAGGAAACAACCCAGAAAATTAATAGGCAACCAACGGAATAGGAAAAGATAGTTGCAAATGACATATCAGATAAAGGGTTAATATGCAGAATCTATAAGGAACTCACCAAACTCCACGCCCGAAAAACAAACAACCCAGTGAAGAAATGGGCAGAAGACATGAACAGACACTTCTCCAAAGAGGACATCCAGATGGCCAACAGACACATGAAACGATGCTCAGCATCCCTCCTCATCAGGGAAATACAAATCAAAACCACACTGAGATACCACCTCACGCCAGTCAGAGTGGCTAAAATGAGCAAAACAGAGACCTCTAGATGCTGGCGAGGATGTGGAGAAACGGGCACCCTCCTGCACTGTTGGTGGGAATGTAAACTGGTACAGCCCCTCTGGAAAACAGTGTGGAGGTTCCTCAGGAAACTAACAATAGAACTCCCTTATGACCCAGCAATAGCACTGCTAGGAATTTACCCAAGGGATACAGAAATGCTGAGGCATAGGAGCACATGTACCCCAATGTTCATAGCAGCACTCTCCACAATAGCTAAAACATGGAAAGAGCCTAAGTGTCCATCAACAGATGAATGGATCAAGAAGATGTGGTTTATCTATACCATGGAATACTACATGGCAATGAGAAACAATGAAATCTGGCCATGTGTAGCAACATGGATGGACCTTGAGGGTGTTATGCTGAGTGAAATAAGTCAGGCAGAGAAGGACAAATACCATATGTTTGCACGTATAGGAGGATTAGGAGGAACTTGACGGAGGACCAAGGGGGAGAAGAAGGGTGGAAATGGTGGGGGAAAGGGAGAGAGGCAAACCATGAGAGACTCTTGAATGCTGACAAAAACTGAGGACTGATGGATGTGGGGGGGAGGGGGGGATGGGCATGAAGGAGGGCACTTTGGGGATGAGCACTGAGTGTTATGTAGAAACTAATTTGACAATAAACTATTTGTTAAAAAAAAATAAAAAAAAGAAATAAATAAAACATTAAAAAAAATTTTTTTTTAAAGCCAAAAGGATGTCATCAGCAAAAGTCAGTGAGACCTTATACAAGACAAACCTATAGTTGTTCTTCAATACATTCATTGTAAGGAAACAAGACATGGAAAGATAATCAAGAAATCAAAAGAAAAATTGCTGAATTGCAACTTATGGTCCTCACTTAGATCCCAGTTTAAAATGTGTGTGTGCACTTGTGTATGTATACGAATATGTATATTTGGTGATACCAAGAATTTTTTAGGTGTGATAATGGTGTTATGGTTAACATATTTTTAAAAGTCCTTTCAGACATACAAACATTTACAAATGAAGTATCTTAAGGTTTGGTTCAAAAATAACATGATGGGAAAAAATAACAACATGGTGGAGGGATGGGCAGTAGATAGGGATAGGAAGATAACAGAACAGAATTGGCCATGTGTTGAGACTTGTTGGAACTGGGTAATCATGATCTGTACATGAAGATTCAATACATAAGCTACTTTTGTGTACAAAATTCTCTACCATAAAAAAAAGTTTTTTTAAAAGATGGAAAATACAAGAGGATTTTCCTAGAATTCTCAGCATTAAGGTTTTTGGATCACAAGTCAAATGATAAATGGATCAGCTCCCTTTCTCAATGCAGAATTTCTAAAAGCTGAAAGAAGGCAAACAGAACTCGTATCCCTCAAAGGAAAACCATGCGGACATTATCTAAATCAACTTTGTTAAAGTTTTCTCAAAATACCCAGAAAGATTCCTCAAAGATTCAACAGTTTCTGTAGTTTAGAGGACAAAATGCCCTTAGTAACCTCTTCGTATCAGTTCAAATATGAATATGAACTCCATACCTAGTAAAAGCAACACAATATAACACCTGGCACATGAAATATGCTCACATCATATAGTATAAAGAACTGAGAGACACAGAATCAGGAAAACCATTTCCAAGATCAACATGGAAATAAAACTAATTACTTCCTTTATCTTCCACAGAAGCATTTGTCAGTTCTATCCTAAAACTATATTATGAACACACTTCTTTTTAGAGAGCCTATAGCTCTCCAGAATATCCTGAATATGAGGCAAGACATTACCATAAAATCTACAAACAAAACTACTGGGCTTGTGACTTAAGAAAGCCATCACTTAAGGGGTGCCTGGGTGGCTCAGTTGGTTGAGCATCTGACTTTGGCTCACGTCATGAGTTCAGGCCCCTCACTGGGCTCACTGCTGTCAGCACAGAGCCCACTTTGTGGAGTCTCTGTCCACCTCTCTCTCTACCTTTCTCCAGCTTGCTCTAGCTTTAAATAAATAAATAAATAAAACATTAAAAAAAAAAAAAAAGAAAAGAAAAGAAAGCCATCACTTAAGAGGCGCCTGGATAGCTCAGTCAGCTGAGTATCCGACTCTTAATTTCAGCTCAGGTCATGATCCCAGGGTCATGGGACTGAGCCCCACTTTGGACTCCATGCTGAGCACATGGAGTTCTTCTTTCCCCAGCTTATGCTCTTTCTCTAACACAAAATCAGAGGGAAAAGCCATCACTTAAAAGTTGTACCAATTTAGGGTACCAAGCCTGGGTGGCTCAGTAGGTTGGACATCAGACTCATCAGGTCATGCTCTCATGCATGGTTCTGATAGTACAGAGCCTGCTGGAGATTCTCTCTACCTCTCTCTCTGCCCCTCCACACTTGTGCGTGCGCTCTCTCTCTCGCTCTCTCTCTCTCAAAATAAATAAAGTTTAATTTTAAAAATGTACCAATTATACTTCAAGTAATATTAATAATTTAATGTTTAGGAATTTCCTTTTTTCCCCCCAAATGTGGACAAATATTATCTAAATAAGATCACAAGAGGAACAATAAAATACTTTGTATGTCTTGAGGTAGGTTAGCTTTGACATCTGACAAAGGAAATGCTTATACACTGGGAAGAAAGCAATGTTTGGCTTTAATGCTAAAGAAAGAATATATCTGTAATAGTAAAAGGTAATGAGCTAATAAAACATACTGGAAGAAGATATGCCCAGCTCTTTACTCTTTACTCAGGCTAGTTAAATCAACGGATTGGCCAACATTAAATAATGTTTCTCTAAGAAAAGGCATAGAAGTACACAAAACTTACTGAAAAAAATTTTAAACAATCAGCTATAAGCAGAAACATACCAAACATATCAATGATCAGAAAACAGATTACAATCATAGTTAACAGCTCAAATATGAAAGGTATTACTCACACATCCACACCAGTAGAATGCAAAGGACTATGCCAGTTGACTGGAAGAAATTCTACCCTCCCGATCTGCTGATTTTCTTGGGCTTTCTTAAAATGTGTCTGTAGTAGGTTCAAGGAAACACTGCGAAAATCATTAACTGAAAAAGAAATGAACTTAATGCATCACCAGAGAAGCAATGAACTTACAAAATTAGGATACAACGGATCATGTAATTATATTCTATCTTCATGTGCTTAGAACACATATTTACCAGAGTCAAAAAGAGCAAGTGGTATTTAGGGAACGTTATTAGTGCATACAGGAAAAGCTGTTCCCTTAACCCAGAACTTTATTTTACTATATAAAACATTTCACCTAAACAAAAGCTAACTTCAAAACTTCTACTGTGTCATGGGAACTGTTTAACTTTTTTAATAAAAAAAGAAAAAAAAATGACTATTTCAATTGGCCTTGCAGTTAGATTCTTATTCTAACTTTGTGGTTCTTATAAACAACCACAATCCAATATTTTAAGTTTTAAAAAAATACAGTTATTTGAAATTCATACTATATCGATCTTAACCTTCCAGAATATTTATGCTTAGAAGCATTAACCAGTAGGAGAAGATTCCCAAATTGGGACAATTAGACTCTGAATATATACTGTTAAGTTTTAGAGGACACTACCTTTCAAAATCAAGTTATACTAATGACCTAAATATTCCAAGAGCTTTATCCCGCTATGAATTACACAAATGATTGAAGGTTCTGTTATCCATTTAAACTATATCATTTTTTTTTGGTTCCCTTTAAATTTGGAATAGTTAGAAAGAGGATCATCACATCATAATACAATTTTATAAGGATTAAGGGCCTGTTCACTCAAGATTTATTAGTTAAGAGTATAAACTATTAGCCTAGGGAATTTACTAGTACTTTAGGTCTAAGTTAAGAAGCTTTACCCCTTTGCCACCTGTCTTTAGCTCTCCAAATCTTATTATGCAGATAAGACAAAAGACTAAAAACAATACCTTGTCTCAGCTCATAGAAGCACTAATACTCCCCTAAAATGATTTAATCTTATACACTTTGCAAACCTACCACATTGTACAATGCTTCGAAAGCGGAGATCACAAGCTGGTCCAATCCCATGGACTACAAAAACCAAGTGATCTATTTGTAAAGGTTCTCCTATAAATGAAATTAAAAAGACAAATTATTTCATATAACTGGTCTTATATTCTAAAATCAAACATTCACAATGAATGGGTTACAAACATGAGCACATCACTTTAAAGGACACAAAATAGTCCTGTATTTTACTTAGCAAAAATACAGAGATTTTACTGTGTTTCTAATTTATCTTAACATAAGTCTATGAAAAAATTTTTCAGACTTTCTAAAACTTTTTATTTTGAAATAACTACAATCTTACAGAAAACATCCAAGAACAGTATAGACACTTCCCTATACTTTTTATAAATTCAACACTTAACATTTACCACAGTTGCTTTATTATTCTCTATGTGTATGTGTTTACACAAACATTTTTTTTCCCTGAACGATTTGGAAGCAGGTTGCATAGATCATCGGATTGCCCATCCCACAACATATACTTGGCAACTTTAAAATAGACATTTATATGTATTAAGATTCTTACTACATGAAGCAATGCGGATCTCAACTCATAAGAAAATCATGTGATTAAATCATTTTTAAGTTTTGAGGTAATCCAAATCCATAGAAAAAGGTCACAATTTAAGTAATAAATAAGTGTGGGAGAAGAAAAAAACTGGGTGGCTCAGTCAGTTGAGCATCCTGCTCTTGGTTTCAGCTAAGGTTCTTAAGTTCAAGCCCCACATCAGGCTCCACACTGACAGTGCAGAGACCTGCTTAGAATTCTCTCTCTCTCCTCTCTCTCTCCCCCCCCACACACAAAATAAATAGAGTTTAAAAAAAGAAAAAGAAGAAAAAAATAAATCGTTAACATTACCACAATGAATGTCAACAGAGATGTTCTCAACCCCTCTCTTCACTGTTCTTGGTCGACCCTGTTCAGTGGGTGTTGAACCCCATTCATCAGATCCTGCAACTGGCTGGTAATGCACCATAAGCTTAAACAGAAAAAGTCAAAGCAATAAATATATTCTACATTATAGACATCTCTATTTATACACTGTGAAGGACACAAACATGTCTTTCAAAACAGAATAGTCGAATCTCAACTGGAGTTTTGACATGCAACTCCAATAGCTTGAAATGAGAACCCTGAAAATATAGTAGGCCAATGTTGCACATGTTAAATACTTTATAATTTTGTCAATTATACCTCAATAAAGCCAAAAAAGAAAAAAATACATCAGGCTAACAGATCTTTCAATAATGTCCTACACATGTAAGATATGCTCACATGTGTTAGTGATATTCTTAATTGATAGTGGCATAATTTTCACTAAGAAAATTCTTTTGTATAAACTGAATTAGGTAAAAAATGGTGGCAGTGGCTACAAATTTAAGTTTCATAACTGTGAATGCAATATAAAAATTCCCAAAGGTTATCCTAAGTAGAATCCCTATGAAAAAGAAACTAAGTTCTCCTTAGTAATGCAATTAATCTTTAATCCCACATGAAAGAAAAGTTTAATTTGCTTCACCTTTGGATTGTGTAATATAATAATTTCTCTGTTAGGAGACTCCAGTTTCTTTTTCCACTCATCCAGAGTTACAGCAAGCATGTAAGCTTCCTTAAAAGAAAACACCTTTCATTAGATTCCTCTAACAGCTTTCCTATTAAATTGAACTTTTTTTTTTTTTCTCCAGAATACTGGTAGACAAACCATTACACAAGAATATCCAACTCCAATATATCAAATTATTTGAAAAATCTCTCAAAACTGCAACAGATAATAGTACACAACAAATAAAATCACTCCTAATTTTATCATCTAAACTAGATAAAATCACTGTTAACATTTTGATACACTTCTTTCAATAATATTAATGTCTACTCCAATTTAAAGAAAGCAAATTTCATGCTGTTTCCAGAACCAGAAAAATAAAAGGCTAAAATGACCAATCCTGCAGTCATAGTTTAAATGTTAACAATGATTACCATTAGAGAAAAAAATTTTAATTTAAAGGCATAATGGGCATAAAAGCAGAACATAAAGGCATAGCTTTATCTTGAAACTAACTTGCAAAAAGAAATGCTATAAATGTAATCTGGACACAACCAAACTCTTTCTGAAAATTTCACTGAGTCACAGGAAAAGATTATTAAATAAGAGAAGGAAAAACGTGAAATGGGTCAGAGGAATACCTCTAATTCTTGGCTGAAGCTCTCAGAGTAGGGAACATACTTATTATCTTTGTCTCCCTTGTAAAACCAGGTACATCGTCTCACTTCTGAAGCTAGCTCATCCCAGTATACAGCGTACCGCATCCTCTCCCCCAAATGCACATCGTATCTGCCCCCATCAGTGGGGACAACTCTCCCATTGCAATCTTTTCCTATCACAGATTGGAAAAGGGAAAAGAAATAGATATATCAAAATAAACCTCCTAAAAAAGGAGCATAACAATTATGAGTTATATGCTAAATAATGTTATGAAACATACAAATGAAGTTTCTACTTGGTGAAACATTAAACACAATGGGGGCACCTGGGTGGCTCAGTTGGTTGAGCATCCGACTTTGGCTCAGGTCATGATCTCATGGTTCAGGCTCTGTACTGACAGTTTAGAGCCTGGAGCCTGCTTTGAGGATTCTCTCTCTCTCTCTCAAAAATAAATAAAACATTTTAAAAAACTAACATTACACAAAATGGAAATAATATATTTTTTTTACTACTTTACAAACCATCAAAACCATTCTTGGTTTCAATGATACATGAAAAAAATAATACCCAACACTATTTTGTTCTTTTTCTGAGGAGAGAGAACAATGTCTCATTTAAAAAAAAAAAAAGTATATAAGGCTTTTTTATGAATTTTTTGCTTGAGGGGCCAAAAGGTAAATTAATGACCATGACCACCATGATGTTAAAGTCGTTACCAGCATCATTCTTATTTCATAAAAGAAGAAAAAACAAGTGAGATTTAAAGAATTCATTCTCTTGCAATGTGACATCCCCTACTCTATAAACAAAAACTGAAACATAAGCTAGAACATAAAAAATAGCAGATAACTATGCAAAAAATTATAATAACTACTGTTTTCAAATACAGACCAAATTCTTAAATATATTTTTAAATGCTATAGAGACAACTAGAGAAAATCTAAAATTTATTTTTAATACTGCTCAATATAAGAACTATTACATTAGACTGAGAGAAATAGTAAGTCTTTATCTATTTCAAATCTTCATTTTCATCCTACCAGAACCATAGGCCTCTTCCAGCTGCTGTGAATCCTGAGAGTTAAAAGGAATCCACGTCTCCTTAGAATCTACTATTTTACAATAAAACCAATGAGGAGAAACTGGTTCGTACAAACTGCCAGGATCCATGTCTAGTAGCTCAAAGGAACTACATGAGTTTGGTGACGGGGATGGATCTGACTGGGACAATTGTTCCTGCTGTGACTCCACTGATGACATTTCGTTCTCTAAAAGACAAGATAAAAGAAAACTATGGGGAAAAAATTATTTTCCTTCTATTAACACTTAAATTGCTCTCTCTCTCACACACACACACACACACACACTTGTCATTTGAAGGAGCCACTTCTAAAAAAAAAATCTAAATCGAAACCGAAAATAGAAATAACTTCTAAATTAACAGCTGGACTTGAGAGGGAGCTTTAAACAAAATGTTTCTTATAGTCAGACCAACCTCTTTACACTGATCTCCCAATCCTCTCAGAAAACTGCATGGTTTTAATTAGACAATAAATTATAAGCCCACAATCGGAAGAAACACATGGTCAAAAACTTGACTGCAACAAAGCATCTTATCCCAGTTTCAACCTAAGTCTATTGATAAAGGCAAAAAATTAACTCCGTCTTAGTAACACCTAGATTTTGGGGCTCCAGACCCCTATCGTTACACATTCACATGATTACTAGAATCTTAAAATACTGAAAATAAAACTATTCACTTAAGAACCGGTCACCTTTTATGGATCCTTGAAGTGGGCTTCACTGAGGACTAGGGCACAAATTTGGAAAACTCGAACCCCAGTTTGAGCCACTGTGCGCAGCGCACCCACTCACATCTTCCAAGTCTCAGGTGAAAAGTAACAAGTGACCTCAAAAGCCTCCTTCTCTCAGAGAGGACTCTGGCCTACGTGGTCCGACCCTCCAACCCCGTCAACACTCAGCACTCGGCAAAGAACACCGCACACATCAAAGAGTCCTCCAGCTCTGCCGAGAGTGACCAGCGTTACTGGTACCGCGGCACGGAGCGCAGCGGGATGGCAAACACCTGGCCTCCTGAGCGAACGCTCTCGAGGCTATCGGCCACTTTTATCTCTTTTCCTAGCACCAATTTACCTCGGCCACCTTGGCGTGTCCCTTCTCCCCACGGCCCTGGGCCTTCTCTGGCCCGGATCCGGGATCTCAGGGCTCGGGGACTCGCCTCCTCCCGCTTCCAGCCCTGCGGAGAGGGGCGGAGCCACCAACGGAAACAAGGTAATTTCCCAATGTCTCAGGGCGCAGTCGATACAAAAGGGACCCCGACCGCTTCCCTAGGACCGAGGTCACCCACCCCCGGGCTGGTCCTCCCAGCACCCCCTTTCCCTGCCTCCGGCATCGCGTCCTACTCCGCCCCCGGCATCTCCATCCCGCAGTGCCTCCAACCCGCATCCCAGTGGGGCCTACCTCGGCCCAGCGCCCACCCCAACAAGCCGTCGCGGGGTCACCTGGCTGCCCGGCTGCCTTTCTCCTGCCCTCGCTGAGGGGGGCACATGTCCCCGCAGCGGCCTTTCCCCAGAGCCCAGGCGGGGCGGGGCGGAGCAGGGCGGAGCCTGCGGCGCTGCCAGGCTCGTGCCCCACACCGGGCTCCACTGCGCTCCCAGCGGGGGAGCGGCAGGTCGGGCCACTAAGAGAGAAGGTGAGGTGGCCTGGACCGCGGCGTGGAAGCGATGGGTAGGGCGAGGAGGGCAGCAAGAGACAGGCAGGAAGTGTCGCGAGAAGTGGAAGGAATCGCGCGAGATATGGCTCCTTCCAGCGGGCAGAGAGCCGGAGCGCCAGGCGCAAGGGCCGTGCGTGGGGCGTGCCTTCCCCTCCGAGCCCGCACGCGGCATCTCCGTGTGAGGTCGGAGGTCATTGAAAGGCAGGGACGGGGAATAACACGTTACAGGTGTAAGGGAGCGTTTTGAGTTTCAGTGAAAGACAAAGCTTCTTCAGGATTAATCAGCCCATCCTCCCCACTTGGTAGAGTAAATGGGAAAAGAGGCCCGCTGACCCCGGTATTACTCTGGCTGACCGCATAAAGGGCCAGGCAAGGTGCCGGGAACCGAGGGAGACGCAGATGCCATGCCCCTGGTGGCCAGTAGAACGACAGGGCGCGGACAGCAGCTTCCTCTACCCAGATTCCTGGGTGTACAGGAGAATGGATACCATTGGCATCTGCAAAGAAAAAAAGTTATCTCTGGGGCTCTGCCCCCTCCCCTTCTGTTTTATTAGGATTTCAAGGCTGCCAAAAAGATATGTCTAAAAAATGCAGAGGTGGAGGTGAGCTTCACCGGATTTAAAAGCTGCACAAGAGGTTGGAAAGGAGATACTTTTGTCCAAACAAGATGACATAATTGAGGTGAAAAGTTTAAGCCAATTTCCCACAGTCATGAAGCTAATGGCCCCGCCCTGCTCTCCTGAGTAGTTTTATGGAAGACCTCAGCTCCTTTGGGTATTCTGTAAGATACTTCCCTGTTTTCTAACTAGATTATAGGGCAAGGGTTCAGGGAATGTGTTTTATTTCTTCAGAACCGAGAAAAAATTCTTATAACACCTGAATTCTCTTACAGATTAATAGCCACACACAGATTTCCACAAGTTTACTTATCTCTTCTCAGATTTATCACACCTAAATAGTTTCTGCTCTGTGGGGGGAGAGTAAGGAATGATGGAACTGTCTAGGATCTTGTCAGATGATTAGCTAATATCACTAACAACTGGCACTTACTAAGCTCTTACTGCATTCTCTGTAGAGTTGTAAACATCTTACAAGCGTGATCCCATTTAGTCCTTATGGCAACTTGATGAAGTAGACTATAGTTATCCCTATTTGCAGAAGTAAAATGACTTACCCAAAGTCATACTACCAGCAACTGATGGAGTCAAATTATAAACACAGTATCTATATCTTCAGAGCCTCCACCTAAGTAACTTACCTAAAATCAGCCAGTTGAGTGACAAAACCAGAACTTGAATTTAGGTCCTCTATCTCCGAATCTCTATATCCTCTCTGCTAGGTGTTCACAGTTTTTTTTGTTCTCAGGAACTCTACACTGTAATTATTGAGAACCCTATAGAGTATTGTTTATGTGGGTTATATATATTGGTGTTTACTGTACTAGAAATTAAAACAAATTTAAATATTTACTAATTCATTTAAAATAACATTAAAAGCACATTTCTTGTAAAAGTTTTTTATGGAAAAATAACTTTTCCAAAATGAAAAAAGTCAGAAAAAAGAATGATACTGCTTTACAGTTTTGTAAATTTCTTTAATGTCTGGTTTAATAGAAAACTGTTGGAGTCTCATATTTGTTTCTGCATTCAAACTGTTCTAACTTTAGTTTTGGTTGATGCGTATGAAGAAAACCCAGCCTCCTTCAACTATATTGTAGCTGGAGAATATAGAAGAATATAGAATATAGAATGTAGAAGGAATTATTTTAATAGCCTCTTCAGATAATTGTGGCTATTCTTTTTAATGCTACACTAAAATTCAACAAATAGTGGCTTCTTAAAAGGTTAAGTTGTAGTATGAAATCTGAAAACGTATCAGTGAATTTTTTGTACTCTGATACATTAAAATCCATTGGCCTATCTTACACTTTGAATGGACTTTTTACCTACATGTGATTTATGACATCAAACAGTGGTCATTTGGAAAATATCAGTTCACTGTGCTATGCAGTCTTCCAAATATTAACACATTTCATAATACACTATATATGTTTTTAATTATCGCCAATCTCATTAGAAGAAAGTTTAAGTACTGGAAAGCTATCAAGCTCTTAGCAAATAAAAGTTCTCTAAATTCTGCTTTTTTCTTGAAAGGCCAGATTTTATCACAGGCAACAAATACCATCAGTTGTTTTCCTTGAAGTGACCAGCTCACTGTGTTTTCAAGAAAAGCTCTGTCAATAGCTAAATCTGACTAGCCCTCTTTTCTCTGTTGTACTTTTAAGTAAAAATGTTCTTCCATGAAAAAATGAGTGGCTAGTTCAGTTACCATTCAAATAATCTGTCTTGCTTTTTTCCTCAAGAGACCAGCATACTTTAGGATGCAGAACTGTTTTATGCACACTATTTTGTCACACGGAATTTGAAAAAGGTGTGAATGCAAAGGTTAGGATTTAATAAAAATTAATCATTTTACCTGTGAACAGTATTCTTAAATGTGCACTATTTTTATTATGGATGTGTGGCAGTACGCAATACAATGAATGACAGTACAATTTGTTTTCACTTCCTTAATTCCTGCTAAGGCACCAGCAGTTTTACCCACCGTTGCTTTTGCATCAACAGTGCAAATGTCAAAAACACAGCACAAAAAGCAAATTATGTCTTAGTATTAATAGTTTTTGTTGTTTTATTATTATTTTTTAAAAGTTTTATTTATTTTTGAGAGAGAAGTAGAGACGGTGTGAACAGGGGAGGGTCAGAGAGAGGAGACACAGAATCCGAAACAGGCTCCAGGCGCTGAGCTAGCAGTCAGCACAGAGCCTGATGTGGGGCTCGAACCCACATACCGTGAGATCATGACCTGAGCCGAAGTCGGACGCTTAACCGACTTAGCCTCCCAGGTGCCCCTGTTGTTGTTGCTTTAAAGTAGGTTCCATGCCTAGTGCAGAGCCCAACACGGGGCTTGAACTCATGACCCTGAGATCAAAACCTGAGCTGAGATCAAGAGTTGGATGCTTAAGGGACTGATCTTGTGACCCCTGAAAGGACCCCCAGCTTGCATGGACTATAGCAATTAAATGTGCCCACCCTGCAGCTTAGAATACAAAAGTAGTGATTAACACAGTACCTACTCTGAAGGAGTTCACAGTCCTAAGAGACAGGCAGATAAATAAATAATATCTTGAGCATCATGAAGAGACAGGAACCATATACACTGACAGTTACAAAAGAGGGAACAAATGACCTGGTATACCTCCAGAAATTCTCATTCAGTAGGTCTTTGATGGGATTCATGTATTTGCATTTTAAACAAGCACTCCAGATGACTTAGAGGCAGATAGTGTGGGATCTACACTTTAAGAAACACTGCCTTGGGGCACCTGGGTGGCTCAGTGGTTAAGCATCCAACTTTCACTCAGGTCATGATCTGACGGTTTGTGGGTTTGAGCCCCGCGTTGGGCTCTGTGCTGACAGCCAGCTCAGAGCCTGGAGATTGTTTCTGGATTCTGTGTCTCCCTCTCTCTCTGACTCTCCCCAGCTCATGCTGTCTCTCTCTCAGAAATAAATAAAACATTAAAAAAAAAAAAAAAAAAAGAAACGAAACACTGCCTTAAGCAGGTTTCCAAGAAGGCCCAGGAGGTAGGTTCAGAAAGAGAACATTTTATGGTATATGGCTCAAAACACACACACATGCACACACACACACACACTCACTCACTTAATTTCATGGCTATTGTTTGCAGTTGTATATCAAATCTTATACCAGAAAAAAAAAAAGGCAAAATCTGAAACAAACCCTATCTTTCTCTTTCAATTCTCTAGTGCAGGAGGCAGCACACTTTTTACTGTGAAGAGCCAGACAAATATTTCAGGCTCTGTGGGCCGTAAGGTTTCTGTCACAACTGATTAGATCACCTCTTGTAGCAAAAAAAAAAAAAAAAAAAATAGCCAGAGACAATAGGTAAACAGATCAGTATGGCTGTGTCCCAACAAAACTTTGTTTACAAAAGGAGGCAGTAGGTGACATTGGGTCTCTGGTGCTAGGCAGTTTGCTGACTCCGTGCTCTGGTACAGAAGATAATGCTAATTGCCAGTAAGCTGCCTCAAGAGCAAAAGCAAGAGTCTAAGGGTCATGAAACAACTGGATTTCATACCCAGAGTTGGAAAAAGTGTTAGGCATCAATTTTGAATTCCCATTTCTTTCCAAAATAAACCATATTTCAGCATTCAAAATGTATGTGTTGAGTGCCTATCAAGGCATTAGGTAAGAGGATACATCGTTTTTGGAGGCAGGAGTCAATACCTGGTGGACAGCTAGGCATCCTGAATGGAGACTACTCCACAGTTGTCTTGGATGCTCTGACTATAAAATAACAACAGCACTTCAGGCTGTGATGGTAGTTCTTAAATTCAAATAAATGGAAAAATATGCTAAGTAGATTCGTTAAAATGTAGATTTTTAGATCCAAAACCCAGAGTTTCTGATTAACTAAAATAGTTTAATCAGAGGAGTCATTGAATCTACATTTTAATCAAGAATATACAGGCAGGCACTGTGAGGCAAGGTGCTTAAATCAAGAAACAGAAGGCCTGAGCTAGAATTTTGGCTATACCACTAACTTTGTGTATAAAAGAACAAACCTGCATGGCTCAGTCGGTTAGGTGTCTTAACTCTTGATATCGGCTCAGGTCATGATCTTGTCGTCCTGGGATGGAACCCTATGTTGGGCTTCCTGCTAAGCTCAGAGGCTGCTTTGGATTCTTTCTCTCCCCCTCTGCTCCTCCCCCATGTGTTGTGTGCGTGTGTCTACGCACACCTGCTCTCTCTCAAAATAAACATTAAAAAAAAATGAGAATATTAAAGAAACCTTAGTGATCTCCAGTGTGATGTTCCCTTCCAAATCAAAGTTGGTGATTTTTGTTAAGTCAGTCCATAAACCACTCATGAAAACACATTGTA